TATTAAAGGTAAGATATAAGATATGACACTGATATCAGTCGAGTAATTGTTCCAGCAACCATATATTTCCCTAATTATTTTGTTGTAATTATTATTATTATTCATTGTATTCTATTATCATTATTGTCATTGTTATTTTCATGAACAGTTAAATATTATCTTTGACATTTTTGTCATGATAGTCAGCATTATTTTCATTGTTGTGTCTGTTCCTGTTATTATTATTATTGGTTTTAGTAGTGGTGATTGTATTTTAATTATCATGTTATTATTTGTTTATTATTATTATCATCATCGATATCATCTATCATAATGTTTATTTTAATATTATCATAGTTATTGATATGATTAATACTATCATTATAATTATTATTGTTGTTGCTGTCGTCGTCACTATATACTATTGTTATCATGATTACGTACATACATACATACGTATACATATATATTATATATATACATATATTATATACATATAATACATATATATATATATATATATATATATATATATATATATATATATATATATATATATATATATATATATATATATATATATATGTGTGTGTGTGTGTGTGTGTGTGTATGTAATATATGTATATATATATATATATATATATATATATATATATATATATATATATATATACATATGTATGTACATATATATACATATATATATATACATATAAATATATGTATATATATGTATGTATATATATGCATATATGTATATGTATGTGTGTATATTTATTTATGTATATATATATATATATATATATATATATATATATACATATATATACATATATATATATATATATATATATATATATATATACATATATATATATATATATATATATATATATATATTATATATATGTATATATATATATAATATATATATATATATATATATATATATATATGTATGTATGTATGTATGTATATGTATATATATATATATATATATATATATATATAATATATATATATATATATGTATGTATATATATATATATATATATATATATATATATATATATATATATATGTATGTATATATATGTATGTATGTATGTATATAAAACATATATATATTTATATATATGTATGTATGTATGTATATATACATATATATATATATATGTATGTATATATATACATATGTATATATAATGTATATATATATGTGTGTGTATATGTATGTATTATATGTATGTATGTATATGTACACATATATGTATATATATGTATGTATGTATATATATAACATACACACATATGTATATATATATATATATATATATATATATATATATATATATATATATATATATATATATATAGATATTAATTATTGGCATTATTATTCTGATAACAACTACTATCATTATTGGTATAATTATTATTATTTGTATTTTTTGTCATTGATGTTATCTATATATTTCTACAAGTATCATTCTCCTTATCATTGTTGATCTTATTATTACTTTTATTATTATTGTTATTTTTGGTTTTACATTTTTTTTTTTATCATTTCACACTATTGTCATCATTATCATTAATATCCTGATGACATTAAATGACTTGTTCGGTGGGCGGAGCTTATTAAGCGAAGGCATTGATCGCCTCTTCATCTCTTCTATTTTCAGGGTCAACACCGATGCATTGGGCAGGTCGGAGTGGACATTGGAGGACACTGGAAGCTCTCGCGGCGAGCGGGGCCGACGTGGACCCCGTCTGCAATGGGCAACACGCCTCTCCACGACGCAGCTTCAAATGGGAAGCTTCTGGCGGTGGGCGCCCTGATTGGCCTCGGGGCGTCCACCAGCAAGAAGAATAAGGGCGGCAAGACTCCACAGGACCTGTTGGGGACAACTTCCGCTGACAGAGTCTTCTCCATGGTAATGGCAGCCGGCAACCAGACGGGCGATATGGAGTCTTGGTTTTCGCTGCCATGCTTTGCGCCCCAGTGCTGGTGCCAGGCTGGGCGCCGTGGTCGCTGGCCGCCCTTACTGCTGTTTATTAGTCGAGAACTGAAACGAATGTTCTTTTTGAAATCATTGAATGTTCTATGTAGAGTCCACTAAACCGAGTTACTTTTCAGGCGAAGGAAAGTGCTGCGGCGGAGAAGGAGAGGGAGGAAGATGCAGGTCAGTCATGTCGTGTGGATATGCAGAGCACTCAGAGAAAGATCATGATATTAAATACAGTGATAAAAATTAAAGGTGAATTATGTTGTGTAGATTAAGAATAACTGATCACTCTGACCCGCTTCTCGAGGAGCAGGAGAAGAGATGCAGAAGAAGTACGACTCGAAAGGCGGCAGACTCGAAAGCGGCGGAGGCGGCCCTGCAGAAGGAGTACGACTCGAAAGCGGCGGAGGCGGCCAACCTGCAGAAGGAGTACGACTCGAAAGCGGCGGAGGCGGCCAACCTGCAGAAGGAGTACGACTCGAAAGCGGCGGTGCAGAGGAAGTACGACTCGAAAGCGGCGGAGGCGGCCAACCTGCAGAAGGAGTACGACTCGAAAGCGGCGGAGGCGGCCAACCTGCAGAAGGAAAACGGAGACATCAAAGAGAAACTGAAGGAAAAGGAAGCAGAAATCAAACAAGTAGAGGTACGTGCACAGAGAGAGGATACAGGTCTCGGGCATCTGGTTCCCTTAGCGGAGAAGCATTCCTGACGCGCGTCGTCTCCTCCGCAGACCGAGTGCGAGGCCAAGATGCGGGACACGAACACAGCCTACAACGCCAAGGAGGACGAGGCATACGACCTGAAGAGGGAGAAGGGAGACCTGATGCTAGAGATAGGGAGAAAGGAAGAGGAGATAAAAAAGCTAGAGGTATGTAAGGGAGATGAAGAGAGGGGAAAGAGAAAAGCTGAGAGGGAGAGGGAGAGAAAGATACAGGAGGTGAGAGAGAAAAAGAGAGTGGAAGACAAGTGGAAAAAGGAATGAGAAACGGGTAAAAGGTAGGAGAGAAAGACGGGGAGAAAGGGAGGTGGGATGGGGACATAACACGGGGAGGAAGCAAAGTAAAAGTTTGATTCCGTTCGAAACATCCTGACCAAGCTTGACTGCTTCAGGGCCAGGTGAAGAAGGCGCGAAGGGACCGGCAAAGGGGCGAGAGAGAGGCCGGGGCCGAGAGGGAAGGCTTCAATGCGCAAATCGCAGGCCTTGAGGAACGCATTGCAACTCTCCAGGTGAGTTGTCAGCCGTGTGATCAGATACAGACTTGCAGCGATACTTTTGTTACATGCTATATCAATAGCATATGTGCATATATTAAGTTGGTACCACATAGACGTATATGTAGTGCATCCACCTGTATGTATATATGTATCTTTTCATCAGAGTGAATAAACACAAGGGAATAAATCTGAGAGAGAGAGAGAGAGAGAAGGGTATAGAGTGAGGGTGGAGGGAAGAGAAATGTGATAAACAGATAAAGAGAGGCAGGGAGGGAGAGAAGAGAGAGAGAGAAAGGGAGAAAGAGAGATAGAAAGAGAAATAGAGAGAAAGAAAAAGGTGAGCGGAAGAGATAAAGACATAAATAGAGATGTGCATATACAGATGAATAGAAAAATAGAGACAGAGAGGGATAGATAAAAGAAAAAGGAGGTAGGGTGAGAAAACCAAGAGAGAGGAGTAGATAAATATATAGGCACACACAGAGGCGGATAAATAAACCAGTAGATGAACAGATAGATAAATAGATAGATAATGAAAGAAAAGGGTTGGAGGAGGGGAACAGAGGAGAAAGGAGACAACAATAACCTTGCCTTCCCCGCAGTCTCATCTGGAAGAAGAATCGCGCAAGAATCTAGCGCTGACGACGCAGATCGCAGAGAAGGAGAGCGAGCTCACGCAAGCCGAGGTAAGGGATTCATGTCGAACAGATTGCAACAGGAACAGCGAAGGGAAGAACAAGGAAACACGGATATGGCGAAGACCTTTTCGCTTTACTGCTTCGTCAGGGCATGAGTGTGTGCCCTGATGAAGCAGTGAAGCGAAAAGGTCTTCGGCATATCCGTGTTTTTTCTCGCTCTTCCCCTCGTTGTTCCTGTTGCAAGCCGAGGTAAGTCCTCCCTTTGGAAGCCAAGGAACCGCTGGAGTGCGCGCACAGAGAAAGCCAATCGTCAACACAAGCAGGTGTTCCATGCCGCAGTACTCATAGAGTGTTCGTTTCCAGGCAGATCACGAGAAAAGGGTGAAGAACCTCAAAAAAAGGGAGAAGAGGAAAGAGAAAGAGGCAGCCGAGGACAGAGGCGAGCTTGAGAGCGAACTCAAGAGACGAGACAAGAAGATCGAGGACCTCAAGGTAGGGGCGAGTTTATTATATATATGTATATATATACAAAATAACAATGATGAAAATAATAATGATGATAAAAATAATAAATGATAAAAAATAATAATGATAAAAATAATAGTAATGATAAAAAAATAAGGACAAGGAAATTAACCTTTTCTTCAGAAGAAACTAAGAGACCAAGAAGAAGAAAAAGAAGTCGACCCGCAGTCCGAGGAGGAAGACAGCCTGCTGAAGCGAATGATGGTGAGTGCCCCGCGTCCAGACGCTTCCCTCTCCGTCGGGTGAAATAAAGGCTATTTCTATGCAACTGCAGTCTGCAGGGAGGGAGGGAGGCAAGGGTTCAGATCTTATCAAACAATGATAAACAACAAGAGAAGAAAATACATGTAATTTTCTCATTTCTTCACTTCAGAGGCAGGTGCGCGAGCAGGAAGAGAAAATGAAAGACGTTCTTTCTGCGATGGAATATTTTCGTCTGCAAGAAATGGAGGCAAGTGTGTCAGCGATTCAATTAGTTTCTATTAAAATGTTTCTGTGAATACATACATACATATTTCTATATACATGTATATGCATATGTATACATATATATATGTATATATCTGTGTGTGTGTGCGCGTGTGTGTGTGTATTTATGTATGGGTATATATTTGAATATATATATTCATGTATATAC